ATTTCCGCCCGGCAGCAACGCGCGAGGGGATGGAGCGTCGCGGAAAAGAAACGGCAGCTCGGCCGAGATAGCCGGCCGCGGCGCACGACAGAGAAAGAGTGGCACTGCTATTTTCGAGACGCCGTGGAGCCCGGCCAACGCGCGCGTCCGGTTCACCGGACGAAAAAAAGAAGGCGACCCGCCGTTGCGGGTTGGAAGGTCGTCGACGATCCGCGGAACGCCGCGCCGCGGATCCACGGAGCCCCTTCGGATCCTCTGGAAACGTGTGAACCGCGCGAGATCGTGTTTGAAACTCGGAAGTTTCCGCTGGTTCCGTCCTCTTCTGGGAGAGTCGTGCCGCGTCGCTCGAGGAGGATGCAAGCCGAATTCCGACGGCTCCGTTCGGCGATCTAGGCCCTGTTACGCGAGTGATCGGGCCGATCACACGATCCCCGGGTGCTGTTGACCTGCATTAACCCGATCGACACCGGGAACATTGGCTCTCGTCGACTGGAGATCGCTGATTGACGCTGATTCGTGATCAGCTGGAGGATACACGCGATAGAGGATCATCTCGCTTCGACTTTCTCCGATGCGTTTAGCGGCTTTCTATTAAAGGGCTCGCCGCTGCCCACTGGGATACGCGGACGGTGTGATTTGATTTTAGAGGATTCCACGAGCAGGGACAAGGCAGTTCGCGGGAAGTGAGTGTTTCGTCGTGGTTGATGATGTTTGAGGAACTGGATCGCGCGGGATCTATTGTTCGCTGTGGAAAACAGGTGTAGAATCGAGTTGTACCAGGGGTAACAGGGACAGAGAGGTGGGAGGATGACTGTGTTGGAGACTTTACTGTGATTACGAGCTACCTTGCGGCGATGGTTCCCGTTCTTTGTCAATTAATCGTCATGGAGAGCGGTTTGCGGAGGTTTGTGGTGGATCTCGTAGTTGCTGTTTGATTGTTCTCTAGCTGTTCTCCGCGGTCGACCGTGGAACGCGGTGAACTGGAGGGAGAGTGCGGGTTTTATCGGGTTTCTGCGTCAAACACTGTCAGACTTGTTCAAACCGTAGTATTCTAATGAAAACGTTGAACGAGATGCTTAGTTTCGAGATGGTTTTATGGGATTTCATTGGATCGGAGGAAGAAGCATGTTATTTGAATGAGTTTGATCTCGTTTAGTGGACACTAATGAAGTAGTACAGGATTGTTTAATGTCTTCGGAATCCTGGAGTGTGCAGTCGAGTAAATTTATCTTTTATTTCAACTTCAGTGAATCGCTAGATGGAAATCTATGTTTGTGCAAACGTCTGGGAGTTTTCGATGTCATTGAAATCGTTCAAATTGTGCAATGTTCGTTCCCTTTTTCGAGTCAAGCGATCGATTGCCTTCCAATCATTCTTTTATTCTTTTTACGTAAATAGAATGATCTTATTAAAGGTCAAAGGGGAATGGCTATGAAAGTGGCATTGATAAATTGAACCCACAAAGTTTCAATGAATTATAGGAGACGCCAGCGCAATTGATCAAAGAGATTACCGTGAAAACTGAATTGCGAATATTCATGAAATCATGTGATTGATTGTTGTAATACGCATATAAAGATTCCTTAAAATTGTTATCATCGAGTGCAACGTAAAGTCTTCACTCTGTTTAAGACCCATTGTTCCGTAAACAATGAGAATATCGACGGTGACTAATAATATTCCCAATCGTCTCTGCGCTTAACCGAAATTACGCTACTTTTAGTGCATTCCTTAGACTCGATGAAGTCGAGTTTGCAACTAAACTCGTTACCGTTCACGACTACATCCGCCGCGGTGTGTTCGGAGCGAGTAAAGTTTCGAACTCCCTGTACTCTCATGTTAAAATACGTTGAATTAATCTTTTTTCAACTCGCGACGTAAATTTCGGTGTTTCTACTCTGAGACACAGTCCTCTCGCTTGAACTTTGAAAAATATGCTTGGATTAACTCGTTTTCCTTTTCGTTTCCCAAGCGAAACAGAATGTTAACATTCAGGAACATACTAATTACAGCAATGTCTTCTTAAAACTTCGAATGAATTTTTTCAACGAGCAAACAGTCGCGGGAACCTTTATAAACGAGTACAAGTGAAAATCTGGCGTGTTTAACAATTCTGAACAGACTGTGTCTGATCATCTTTTATATCATTAACAAACTGCATCCTGTGTTTTAAACAAAATCCGTTGACCGTGCTGTTTGTATCTGCTTCCAGAGTGTACGATGTTGGAAGGTGGACGTGCAGTGGTCTGGCTCCTTGTATCAGCCCCACGAGCTGCACGCCACCCAAACGATTCACGTACTAACCCAATTGCACCTGTTTGAAACCCACCAGTTGCAGAGTCCTGCACCGTAACCCCATGACGCATTTAACACATGGCCCGCCTGGAGAGTAAGTGGTACATTCACGCACACGATTTTTCATCCTCGTTCCTGCTCCGCGCCCCTCCGCCGCATAATGATTTACCGCAGCTATTAGCCATCCACGAGGATCCTCCGTTCATATAATTCACGCCAGTTCCCAGAAACTCGATTTTACATCAAGCAGGTCAACTGGGAACGTGAATCAGATCCCAGAGGTCTGCGATTTTCATAGACCATTTGCCTTTATGCAGTCCTTCCTATTCGAATCTTCCTGATCTGCTATCCCTTGCTACATTTGTTGCAGAAAGACGATGAAAAAGTTTGCTGAATCTGGAACAGCTTTGTTAGCTTGAAGTAACTTACTCGGAATAGCTTCTACGTTTCATCCTGGCTGATTAATCCTTGGACGACGATTCCAATAGTTCCCCTTTCCAAGTGCGCTTTAAAAACATGTTTAGGAAAGTAGATGATAGAGATCTAATTGGATGAAGCCAGAAAACGGATGCTTTCCAAGGATTAATTCTATTGTTCATTTGATCTCAGCTGAGGGGCTGAACCAAATTAATCATGTCAAAGGCAGATTCAATAGGGTATCATGTGGTTGTTGCAGTTCCAAGCATAGTGGTGCATAAAGGCAGCAGGTCGCACAGCCGACCTGAGAGTCCCACGGTGGTGGTGGGAGGAGGAATGCCCTCACTGCCGTCTTCCAGGCAAGGCTTCGTCATAGGTGGCCCAAACGGTTCATATCAGAGCAGCTCAGAGTCGGATATGATAGACGGGAATGCCAACCCCAATGTCGGCTCTTCATCCTCGCTCCATCGTACCTTGCCCTCCTGTCCATCCGACAAGACCGACACAGAGAATAAGAACTTTCGTAATAGGGTACGTCTTTAGACACTTGCTCCTGGCGTAGTTTGAAAGTCAAGTGTCAATGTATTCTAATGGATGAAACTTGCAGGTGTAAGCCATTGTTTATGGGTAGCTAACGAGCTAGATGCATGCCCGACGATACTATCTGGAGCATTAAAGCATATATAAGAAGGTAATGATACGGTGAAGTAGCAAACTCAGCTAGGCCGTTAATAGAAGTTTGTCATTGCTATAAGACAGTGACGTTCGACTCATTTTATCAGAGTTCCTGTGTGTAAATCAGTTCTGAAGATTTTAAAATGCTCTTGATGCTTGAAGGATTAAGTTATTATTGAATTTTATTTTGAGATAGTCATACTGAGTTTACTATGTCTCTATGTCGTTACCTCTAAGTACATATGGCTCACACTTGGCAGTAATTTGGCTGGTGAAAGTTTTGTAAGAGGATTGATCGGATGATTCTTTTCCAGGCGAATACGAAGGTAAAGTTGCTGGTCAGGAGTCATGCCATGAGAGAGTCGACGTCTCCCCCGAGGGAGCCACACAACGGTTCGTCCTCTCCGCACAGTCCTCAGTCGGTGGACGGAGAGAGAAAGTTTACGGGTAACCTGTCCCCTAACTCCACCAACGCCAAGCTCAACAACAACGAGTCAATGTTCAACAGTAATCTGTGCCCGAATCAGTCCCCAAAGCAAATGCGCAACACGGCTACTTCACCTACCTGTCGAGCTCCGTCGCGAAATGGTAACTGTCTTGCGCAGAAGTATATCGAATACAACTGTTCAGGGGATATATCGTTAATGACGATGTGCCGGTGATTCTAGGTCAATCTAGTCCTTCTCAAGTTCACTCACCAAAGAATAACACATCTCCAACGAACAGCAATAAGTCAGAATCCCAGCGTTCCAAGATGACCGGTTCGAACGTGATTCAGAAATGCAATAACTGCGTGAAGAACAATCAAAACGACCGACCCTGCTTGCTACAGACGCCCGTGTCACCCTCGAAGTCGGGCCAGGCGTTGCAGCACTCGCCAAAGAGCATAAACTTGGCCCAGAACGTTCAGAACAATCAGAAGTTGGAGCAACGCAGACCGAACACGTTAAACATCTGTAACAATCAGTGCGGTACACAATGCGGCAACACTTTGTCCGTGAGCAGACCGGGCTCACGGCACAAGCTGAGGCACCAGAACTCGTCCCAGGGTAGCTTCGACAGCGCCTCGCCGTGTCTGTCCAGAGGTCCGATTTTTCTCAATTCAATCATTTCCCCGAAAACTCTGCACTGTTATGATAAGATTCGTTAACACTTTCTGTACACAGACAGCAGCACAGAACTGTACACGGACAGCACCGGGATAGATCTGGAGCATTTCATCGCAGAAACCATAAATCGCAATCAGAAGGACCGCACGGTGCTGTTGAAGATCGAGAAAGATCTAATAGAATTCGCGAAGGACAAACAGAAGGTCTGCCACAAGTTCCCGAACATGTCCTCGTACAACAGGATGCTGGTGCATCGCGTGGCCGCTTATTTCGGCATGGAACACAACGTGGATCAGTCCGGTTCAAGCGTGGTGGTGACCAGGACGAAGAACATGCGGATTCCAAACACTCGCTTCAAGGAGCACATCAGGGACGATCTGATCCTCTCTGAGGAGCCGCGCAGAAGTATTCTGAAAAGGGATTCGAGCTCGTTCGAGGACAGCTTCAACTTCAAGTCACCCGATAGATTGTCTGGTGACTACTGTCGACAGAGTAAAAGTTTCGAAGAAAGAGAGGAGGAATACGAACGCGCCAGGCGAAGGATATTCAAAGACAACAGTGGAGATAGTGAAGTTCCTTCTTGGCCGTATTGGTCGTCTTCGGAGAGCTCCGATGCCTCTGCCAGATACCGTTTGTTGCACCCTTCGGACCATATAATGAGGTGAACAGATTAATTCTATTGAACGTGTTATTTAGATTAATTATGAGCGTAGAAGTAAAGTAAGAGTCCCTGTCGATCTGCTAGGCAAACCAAGCTGATGAAAGGGGAGTCCTTCGACGGTAGGGAGTCTTGTCGAAGCGGTGTCTTGAGGCCATCTGTTTCTAAGTCTTTCAGCTTCGGCGGTTATACCAGGGGCATGCTTTCCAGAGGGGACAGTGTCACATCTACTCACAGCGCTGGCGCTCGTCTCATGAAGCAAGGTTTGCAAATCCCCGCGTTTCTCTGTCGTGGTGAATCGCGCGAATCTCATGTCTACAGAACAGAATCTCCGTTGCAGACTCAGGTGCTAGCATGTGTTCACGATTAAGCCCCTCGAGCAGCGGCTACAAGTCGCAAAGCCAGCGTAGCGACGCCACGATATCTCCTTCGCCGTCGCCGTCGCCGGTGGCGAACATGACGTGCAGTCATACTCAAGTATCTAGTCAGGATCTCGCATCGCCGGAATCGAATAATCAGACAGTGATGTGGGCGGTCACTAGTATATCCAGCGTGCCGCCCGGTAGCATAATCATCAACCCGCAAACGAATCAGCCATACACGAATCCGGACGGCTCGATATACCGTTTCGACCCGGAGAACCCGCCAAAGTTTTATACCGCTGCTGTGTCGCCGCACGAAAATGATAGGAACGCCGTATCACCCTGCAAGAATACGGAGAACGCATCCGAGCCAACCAAAATGAACAACAACGTGAGGAACGAGGGCAACAGAAAGAGGTCGCAGTTGAATAAGAACAACGGTGGTAACTCAACGACGGTCACTCACGTGACGAATACTGCGACCTCGCCTAGCTTACCATTTACACCACCACCGCAATTGAATCCGCCGCTTCAGCATCAGCCGCAACAGCAGCAACACCAGCAGCAACACCAGCAGCAGCAGCAGCAACAACAACAACAACAGCAGCAACAGCAGCAACAACAACAGCAACAACAGCAGCAGCTGCAGCAACAGCAACAGCAGCAAGCACAGCAGCAGCAACATCAGCCTCAGCAACAAACTCTAGTCAAATCGTCATCGACGATGCAATCTTGTAATCATAACCAAACGGCTCAACCGTACACCACATACATACCTACCTCAGAATCGTACAACCAGGGTGTTTATCCACCCCCCGTAGGACAGCAAACTGTGATGATGGCTCCTCATCCGAACCAGGGTCAGCCGAATGTACAGAATAACGGCCAAGGGGATGTATTTAATCAGAATTCAGTTTACGCGAATTATGCAGTACCTGTGCAACAAGGACCAGTGTCGCAGACAACGGTAAAGAACGTTTGGTACTTAGGTATTTGATGATAAATAGTGGTTACTGTGGAATTACAGTGATTGCGTTGTTGTTTAGGAAATAACCGAGTTGTCTGGATATTTTATGGGTATGAGTATCTATGATCAGCGCGTATCCGGTGATAATCATTCTACGCCGCCGCATTCTTATCCGCAACCGCAACCATCGGCACACCAGGCGGTGCAGAGTGTACAGTCCATGCCGCAGAACTACTGGCAGCCGCCTCCCAATTCAGTTCCGGTACACTTTTCTAGACGACAGCATTGAAACATTCTTATTTGTTATATTATTATTCTTTTTTTCATTCTAGCCGCAACAAACAATGTATTTCGTACCCCCGCCTGGTACAGCGCTTTCGGTCAGTCAGGGTCCAGGTGATAGGCAACAGTTGCATCAGCAACAGAGATACACCACGAATTATTCTTTTAACGCGCAAACTATGACGCCTCCGAGCCAATCGAATTGTAAGCTGTCCTATATCCTTCAACATATTTTTACAGAATCGCCTCTCTATTGATTTGTTTTAATTATACACGTTCTATTTTAGCTAATTATGTGGGCAGCTATCCAGTTCCTTACAATTCGGTACCCGCCGTGACACCGACACCAGGAGAGTACAGTTATCAGCCGCCGGTTCACATGGTCCCCACGTATTACCCGCAAGGACAAGCGGCGATTCAACCACAACCCGTCATGTACAGAGTACCTACGCCCCCGAATACCCCGACTTCTAATCAGGTACTCGATCAAGAAACATTGGTGTCATCGTAGCTAGAAGTTCCCTGTGCAACCTGGAATTGATAATTTTACAGATGCCAGGAATGCCATTGATGTACGTCAATTCAGGCAATTATCCACCGCCAACGATGGTGTCCAATGGAACGTTCGGTCATCAAGTCGGGCACAACGGCGCGTCCCCCGCGCCTCCTGGAACGTACATGGCCCCCGCGCTGGTTCCCAATCTCGTTATCAGGCAGAATGGTCCTGTAAGTATTACGTTTCTACTCGAGAAAGATCATACTAGACCGTTATCAGCTTCAGTACTTCTTTGTAGGTTGTTGCCGGTGTTCGAGCTTCGACACCAGGCAATTCTCAGAGGACCAGCAGGTCACCGACTCCAGCACATGAGCTGTTCGGAAGTGGGAGCGGGGACAGAAGCGCACAACCCCAGCCACGCTACCCACTGCCAATGTATCAGGGTGTCCATCTTGTGCAAGGTGTGTATCATCCGTGTTTAACCCTTTGCACTCAGAAGGGGACTCTCAGTCACCGATTGATTTGATGTAAAACTATGAAGTCTGATAGTTAATGTTAAACTTTGTGTAATGCCCTGATACGTGAAATATTGGAATGAAATAGTTTTGTCCCTTAATGTACTTGTGATTCCCCTTCGGATTAGCTTCAAGGAATATCGTCTTCGCCTCGTCAGAAAATGTTAAACATTTCCAGTGAGAAACTTCCGAGTGCAAAGGGTTAACAAAGTCACGCGACATTTCCCATATAATATGGTTTATATTGTTCCTTGCGTCTTTAGGGGATATGAGATTGATGCATCCCGGAGTACCAGCTAATCCGCGGCTGCAGTATGCACCAGTACCATCACCACCTGTTGTTCAAGGTTGTCCACGACCGTACCGCCCGCCTTCATACTCGTCGAACACCTCAGGCGCTGGTACACCCACCTCGTTCGATGGCAGAAATCAGAAAATTCGTAAACAGAGGTAACCTGTCGCTGTGCTGTTTCATCAGTGAGCTTGTATTTTAGCACAAGTTCACGTATAACAACAGTAAACAAACTTTCTTGGGCAGGTCCAAAGTAACATCGTTGCCACCGACTGGCCCGCGGCCCAATCTTTATCAAACTCCTTCCATGCCGTCGCTCTCGTCCAACGTACCGGAAGATCTCAGAGGAGGTAAGGATCGACCAGTGACATGATTTAGATTGAATAAGATTAGATGTTCGGCTCGTTTTTCGGTACGTTCTGCTTGGAAAGCTCTCTGTTTACTTTCTCTACCTATTTTTTGTTCCGCTTACGAAAGAACGAAAAGAAAAAAAAAGAAAAAGAAATGTGTGACACAACTTTTGACACGTATCTTGTGTATCCCCTTTAAAAGCGAAACCTGTGGAAGACAATATGATCTAAGGTACAGAATCTTCATCAGTAATAAAATACTACAACGAACACGGTATAAAACCACATCGTTTACCATTAGGCGCTTCTTTCACACCGCGTTCAGTTCGCTTCTGGTCGATATTTGCTCGTGTGGAACTATGCCTGGAACAGATGCTTCCTATTTTTCCTACCGGTGAATTCGATTGCACAAGTTGTCCCGTGCTTGAGTTGTTTCTCGCTGACGATGAAAATGGGAAGCTTAAGTTTTCAGAGCATTTTCGATACAACAATGCACTGTACGCTTACACGCTCATGCGCACAGGCGATGTTACAGTGTTTCCTCTGTATAAGCTCGTTGCTTGTAATCGCGAATCAGAAGTGAAATTTAAAATTTTCCTGAGACATCATTTGTATGAACTACTAGTTTCAGTAATTATTCATTGATTTATCATTCTCAGACGCGCTAAGACGTTCGAGCGAATCTTATAACGAGGAAGCACTGCGCTATGCAGAACTATTGCCTTCAGACCTAGACAAAGTGAATGCCTTTTATCGCACAATTAATTTGTTTCTTATTATCTTTTCTGTTCGAGTGAAATTATCTAGCGTTAGGCTTTTGTATCGCACGATTAACGGTCGCGCGGTTAAAACACCACGGTTTGCCATACAGAGAAAAGGAAAAAAAAAAGAAAAGAATCGAATCCAGTAATATTCGTCACAATGTTCACGTGATCCGCCTTCGTGTGATCTCTATTCGTATTTACGCTTTAGATTGACCGTTCACGGTGTGTCTCGATTATTACACACGTTGTTCTTATCGCAGTCCTAATTTGCACATAAAGACAAAACAATTGAAAAAATCTAAATATATATATATATATATACATATATTTATATATATTCATATATATATATATGATAAAAATCAGTAATTCACCGGCATTTGTATGTGACGAAGGCACGACGGTCGCGGAACGACCAGTGCTGCTCTCAGAAGTAATGTTCTCGTCTTGCAGCGACCGTGAAGGTGACAATCACTCGTCGAAACCAACTGGTACAATATTAGGTAGCTGGTCCAACCTGAGAAGAGAGAAAAATGGGTGGGAAGGTGAGAGACGAAACGAGAGAAAAAAAAGAGAGAGACAGAGAAAAGAGAGAATAAGGGCGAGACACAAGATGAAATAAACGTGAGAAAACAACGTCGCAGGATTACGAGAAAAACGAACAATTGGAACCGGATGTCGGACCCGTGGTTCAGCGACGCAACACGACAAGATTCGTAATTAATTCGCTAATCCCGTAATTATTTAATCATCCACGGAGGAGAGGGTACGCGAACGCACATCGCCGCCACCGAAATATATATGTATAAATATATATTTATATATATACATCTCGAGGAGAACGGAGAACGCGTTTTGCAGCAAAAACGGTTCATCAAAAACAACAACAACAACAGAAAACCCTTTTGATAAAAACGACCGAATCCGATGGAACAGTCGCCTGTATATCGATTAAGGAAATTCGAACTTATCATCAAGATCCAATTTGGGGAATATTAAAGGGTGGGTAGGGGCAGGGGGTGGGGGGCTGAAAGAAATTCTATACAAGTGTGCTCATAGGAAACAGAGACGAGAGAATGTGCGTT